GCGTTAAAAACATGAATAAAGATATAACTCTGGTCCCTTCTGCCATCCCCGTCTCCATGTTCCTCAGCAAGTTTGGACTGAAACTTCTGCAGGAGAGGTTGAGGACAGAGAGAGAGAGAACTCACACGCTCTGGGTTGCAAGTCATCAGAGCAGGGCTTTAAGGGAGGTCTTTGCCATTCATTTGATAAATATATATTAAGCACGTAAATTCAAGGCTCTGTGCTGGATGCTGTGGTCTTGATATTAGAGATGAATAAAACACCATCCTTTCCCATTCATGTAGGAAGGATGTTAAAGACTCATATCTGGATGGACTTCACCTATATGCATCCATCTTTCCTGCCTTACCAGCTTGTTATCCTTTTATTTTTGTTCTCTCTGTTGGCTCAGTGATAATTCCAGCCATAAGTAGAAGTTAAGTGTTCACATCTCTCACTGTCTCTGTCTCCCTCCTCCTCCCCTGAGGCAGCCAGCAGTCTCAGAGGCTCTACTTTCTACTAGTTAGATCTGCCACCACCAGATCAGGCCCCTGCGGTGTTCTCCTAGCTCTAACTGTTTTGGCCTAACTGGGAAAGACTCTCTTCTTACTCTGGTTCAGACTCTATAAGATTAAAAAAAAAAAAAAGGAAACAAACTGGGGAATTCCCTGGTGGTCCAGTGGTTAGGACTCAGCACTTCACTGCCTTGTTGGGGAATTAAGATCCTGCATGCTGCGAAGTGCAGCCAAACTTAAACCAAAAAAGATTAAACAAATAAAGGAAACAAATGAAATTTGAATTGGGACAGAGTGGTACAGATTGCAGAAATTATGCTTAGATAGGCAGAGATTGAGTGGAGCAGCCCAGCTTTCTTGGTCTGCATGCTCTCGATCCTTCTTGCCACTGTCCCAGTTAGTTGCATGCAAGACCAGGCCCCTGGATCCCTGGGCAGAGACAGAACAGTCTATAGGAATTGTCATCCTTGCCGGAGCCAAGTTCTTGGACTTGTGTGGGAGTGTGGACCCTCAGCCTACCTCCATTGGCTGTGATGCCCTTTGGCTTTGGAGCTCTCCTTGCCCTCAAGGGTCATGCCATGGTCTCTACGTACCTGATAAAGAAGGCAGTTTCCTTAATGGCCCCAAAGCTTCTGCCCTGGACTCCAGGTTGCCTTTTAGATATCTGCCCTCCCTAGCCTCTGTGCTCCTGGACATCTGGGTTGCCTCTAGCAGTCACTGCTGCTGCTGTTGCGAAGTCGCTTCAGTCGTGTCCGACTCTGTGTGACCCCATAGATGGCAGCCCACCAGGCTCCCCTGTCCCTGGGATTCTCCAGGCAAGAACACTGGGGTGGGTTGCCATTGCCTTCTCCGATTAGCAGTCACTAATACATGTTAATGGAAAGAAATTGAAGCCCTGCTGTTGCCACTGACCCATGTGTCCCTTCTTCACCTTGTTTGCCTGGAGCACGTGGACTAGTCAGTTATTAAAGCTAGACCAGCCCTTTGGAGAAGTTCAATCTCACCTTTTATTCTAGGTTAGCATCTGGACCTAGAGTCTCCAGGGCTACGTGACCACCATGGTGGGTGTCTCCAAGTGCTAGGAGCATCTCTGCCATGGCCAGCAATTGAGCTTTTCCTGGTTCAAAAGCATGGCCTCCTCTATGGCCTATATTTGGACTTCCTGCTTCTGGACAGAAGGATGCCTTTAACTGTCAGCCTGTTGACTAAGCAGAAATAGCTGACCTACCCTACCCAGTGGTTCTTGGAAATACCTGGCAGCTTTCAAAAAAGTCCTGGTGCCCAGGGACCACCGCCAGAGATTCTCACTGAACGGGTCTGGGGTGAGGCCCAGACATCGGTAGTTTTAAAAGTCCCCAGATAATGGTAATGCAGCCAGGCTCCAGGACCTTTGCCCCAATCCCGTGGAATGACTGGGCCCTTCCCGTTCAGGCTTCCGATTGCATGCCACCCCAGGGGCTGTCTGGTGACACATACAGGTCCCCCATTTCCACCCTGTTTCACATCATGTGAAACGATAGAAAACTGTTATCTATATAGGAACGTAATGGCAAGGTAAGGGGGGGGAGTCTTCTGCTTTCGTCGATGTGTCAGCAGTTTTCTTTTGATAAACTGAGAAGGCTCTGTAGAAGGTATAGAAATTTAGGGGTATCTACATGCTGTAAAAGAGTTGCTGCGGGACCTCCCTGGTGGTCCAGTGGCTAAGACTCCACACTCCCAAAGCAGGGGGCCCTGGTTTGATTCCTGGTCAGAACTAGATCCTGCATGCCACAGTGTAGATCTTGTATAACACAACTAAGACCTGGTGCAGACAAATAAATAAATTAAAAAAAAAAAAAAAGAGCTGCTCGGAGTTGAGAGGACACGCCGTGCATGGTGGAGCTTGGAGGATGGCTGGAGGAAGTGAGTCAATGAAGTGGTGCTCTTGGTTAGGGTATGAGTGATCCCAGTTGAGACCTCCTGGCCTCAGATATTTTACATTTTGTTTTTGATTACACTGAGAAAGAAATAAGATGTTAGCTCATGATGGCCTATGATTGCATTTCCTCTGAGATGTGAATGCATTTCATTTGACCTTTTCTTTTTTTTTCCTGAACATATCTGGTCTACATTAGCCATTTTCCCTCGGGTGTCAGGGTTCAATTAAGTTTTCTTGTGGAAGAGGCTCCTGAAATAAACTTAGAGTTGGAGCAGTAAGAGAAGAGATAACAGGCAAAGTTCCTTCTTCCAGCAATTAAGGAGAGCCAACATCACAGACTTGACTCCTTTGAACTTCCTAAGCATCCTCTTTGTTGGTTCTGTTAATGTCATTATTACTGATAATGGCAGGGAAGTAAGGGAGAGAGGGAAAGCTATCTCAGAACAAGCTGGAGAGGAGTCGGGCATTGTTACCAGAGAGCAGAGGAGGGCAACAGCTCCCGGTGGGGCTTCCCTGGAGGCTCAGCGGTAAAGAGTCACCTGCCAATGCAGGAGATTCGGGTTCGATTCCTGGCCTGGGAAGATCCCACATGCCGCGGGGCAAGTAAGCCCACGTGCCACAACCACTGAGTCTGTGCTCTAGAGCCTGGGAGCTGCGACTGCTGAGCCCAGATGCCTCAGCTGCTGAAGCCTGCCCACCCTAGAGCCTGTGCTCGGCAGTAAGAGAAGCCGCTGCTTCTCACTCCAAGTGAGAAGCCTGTGGACCGCAGCTGAAGAGTAGCCCCTGCTTGCTGCAACTGGAAAAAAGAAAGAAAAGGCCTGAGAAGCAATAAAGACCCAGCAAAGCCAAAAATAAATGAATGCATAAATAGTTTCCAGTGGGTGAAATCCTGGGTGTAGGGCCAGCTACAAAATCTACAGGGCCCGGTGAAAAATGAGAATGTAGAGCCCTTTGTTCAAAAATGAAAATAGCAGAGCCTTCGGTCAAGCAAGGGGCCCTTCTAAACATGCCCGTGACATATAGTCACACGCCTATGAAGCTGGGCCTGGCTGGGAACAGCCTTTGGGCTTGATCTCTGAGCCACAGAAAGGGAGGGCCTCCTTGGTCTCTGAAGCATCCTAGAGGAGCCCACCCAGGAACTCCCCCAAACCCTTCCCTGGGTTGGGTCAGCTCAGCCTAGCCCATCGACAGCCCATGTCCCTCCTTCAGGGCCCAGCGAGAGCAGATTGAAAAGGAGCGGCTGGAGGAGGAGAAGAAGGCTACAGGGCGCTTACAGCACGCCAACGAGCTCCGGCGCCAGGTGCGGGAGAACCAGCAGAAGCAGGTGCAGGCCCGGATCGCCACCTTCGATGAGGGCCGGCGCCTCAAGGAGGAGGCCCAGAAGCGGCATGAGCGCATTGAAGACATCAAGAGGAAAAAGCTCGAGGAACTGAGGTGCGCTGGGGTCCCTTCCTCCCCAGCTGCTCTCCCCTTCCCCAGGGAGGCCGCCTGGATGGTGCAGGGTTAGGGAACGAACGGATGGTGATGGGGGCGTGGGGAGGGCCTCCTGCCTGACTCCAGGCTCACATGGGCTGTTGGCCTCTGAAGGGGGTGCCTGCAGAATGTGCTGAAACTGGGACTTCCTTGGTTGGCTCTCTGGGGAACTCCTTAGCAGGATGCTGGAGTCTTGACAGGGATGTGTTTGGGGAATGGGTGGTGGGACCAGGCTCAGGGATACAGGTCCCTAGGTTCTTTCAGCCTGCTTCTGCTGTCTCTTTGGTCCCCTCCCCACCACTCCCACCCCTTATGCCCACCCTTTGTTTTCCCTGCAGGGCCAGCGGCCTTCCTGAGAAGTACTGCATCGAAGCTGAGCGCAAAGCTAACATCCCAGCCAACACGTCTGTGAACTGAGGGAACCCCTCTGCCCCTCAGGATGCCTTCAAGGGGGCAGGTTCCTCCCCAGCTCTCGGTGTCCATAACTGCTGCTAATATAGACAGTTCTGAGTTATAGATTAAATCTATTCTTCTCTAAGGAATAGTCCAGCTTTCTTGCTGTGGGGAATGTGGCCGCTATGGACTAAATGGGGAGCAAAATAGGTTACGGGGGCCCTGGGCTGTGGGCAGTATGATCGTCGGAGACAGAAATGAGAGGATGCTCCCTCGTGGTCAACCCTCCTAAGCCAGGTGGTCCCTTTGTCCTGGGGTCTCCCGGCTTTTTTTGTGACCCTCTGGCACGCTGTCGTCATGTCCACTTTCAGCTCAGTCTTATCTCTGTCCCCACTCCATGCCCAGCGCAGAGGCATTTCGTGGCGAGGAGCTCGAGGTGCTGTCTCAGGGAGGGGCCGGGGAAGAGCCTGGGAGCTGCGACTGCTGAGCCCAGATGCCTCAGCTGCTGAAGCCTGCCCACCCTAGAGCCTGTGCTCGGCAGTAAGAGAAGCCGCTGCAGTGAGAAGCCTGTGGACCGCAGCTAAAGAGTAGCCCCTGCTTGCTGCAACTGGAAAAAAGAAAGAAAAGGCCCGAGAAGCAATAAAGACCCAGCAAAGCCAAAAATAAATGAATACATAAATAGTTTCCAGTGGGTGAAATCCTGGGTGTAGGGCCAGCTACAAAATCTACAGGGCCCGGTGAAAAATGAGAATGTAGAGCCCTTTGTTCAAAAATGAAAATAGCAGAGCCTTCGGTCAAGCAAGGGGCCCTTCTAAACATGCCCGTGACATATAGTCACACGCCTATGAAGCTGGGCCTGGCTGGGAACAGCCTTTGGGCTTGATCTCTGAGCCACAGAAAGGGAGGGCCTCCTTGGTCTCTGAAGCATCCTAGAGGAGCCCACCCAGGAACTCCCCCAAACCCTTCCCTGGGTTGGGTCAGCTCAGCCTAGCCCATCGACAGCCCATGTCCCTCCTTCAGGGCCCAGCGAGAGCAGATTGAAAAGGAGCGGCTGGAGGAGGAGAAGAAGGCTACAGGGCGCTTACAGCACGCCAACGAGCTCCGGCGCCAGGTGCGGGAGAACCAGCAGAAGCAGGTGCAGGCCCGGATCGCCACCTTCGATGAGGGCCGGCGCCTCAAGGAGGAGGCCCAGAAGCGGCATGAGCGCATTGAAGACATCAAGAGGAAAAAGCTCGAGGAACTGAGGTGCGCTGGGGTCCCTTCCTCCCCAGCTGCTCTCCCCTTCCCCAGGGAGGCCGCCTGGATGGTGCAGGGTTAGGGAACGAACGGATGGTGATGGGGGCGTGGGGAGGGCCTCCTGCCTGACTCCAGGCTCACATGGGCTGTTGGCCTCTGAAGGGGGTGCCTGCAGAATGTGCTGAAACTGGGACTTCCTTGGTTGGCTCTCTGGGGAACTCCTTAGCAGGATGCTGGAGTCTTGACAGGGATGTGTTTGGGGAATGGGTGGTGGGACCAGGCTCAGGGATACAGGTCCCTAGGTTCTTTCAGCCTGCTTCTGCTGTCTCTTTGGTCCCCTCCCCACCACTCCCACCCCTTATGCCCACCCTTTGTTTTCCCTGCAGGGCCAGCGGCCTTCCTGAGAAGTACTGCATCGAAGCTGAGCGCAAAGCTAACATCCCAGCCAACACGTCTGTGAACTGAGGGAACCCCTCTGCCCCTCAGGATGCCTTCAAGGGGGCAGGTTCCTCCCCAGCTCTCGGTGTCCATAACTGCTGCTAATATAGACAGTTCTGAGTTATAGATTAAATCTATTCTTCTCTAAGGAATAGTCCAGCTTTCTTGCTGTGGGGAATGTGGCCGCTATGGACTAAATGGGGAGCAAAATAGGTTACGGGGGCCCTGGGCTGTGGGCAGTATGATCGTCGGAGACAGAAATGAGAGGATGCTCCCTCGTGGTCAACCCTCCTAAGCCAGGTGGTCCCTTTGTCCTGGGGTCTCCCGGCTTTTTTTGTGACCCTCTGGCACGCTGTCGTCATGTCCACTTTCAGCTCAGTCTTATCTCTGTCCCCACTCCATGCCCAGCGCAGAGGCATTTCGTGGCGAGGAGCTCGAGGTGCTGTCTCAGGGAGGGGCCGGGGTGGAGGTGCCAGAGCTCCTACAGGTGCGTGCCTGCGACTCAGACCGTGCGAGCTGAGAGGCTGGTGTTTGGGCCTGGGGCTCACCCCCCTGTGCCAGCCCTCTTCTGCCAGAGCCCTTTCAACTCCGGGCGGCGTCGCCGCGCAGGCACTGGCCCCATCTCCCATCAGGGCACACCCTGCCTGCCCGGTCCCCTCACCCGACACAGCTGTCCCCTCACCCAAGTGGCCTGCTCCCTTTGGTCCTCCTCGCTCCAACACGTGGGGCTTCCCAAAGCCATCTTTCTCAGTGTTAGCTTGCCTCCCTCTCCCTCAAAATATTCTTCATTCATTCATTCACTCGTCCAAGTATCTCTGAGGACCTGCCAGATGCTAGGTACATTTCCAGTGAAGTCAATTTCCAGTGAACACAGCGAACCTGGTTCCAATCACAGAGAAGCATCTCATCTGTGTCAGTCAATCTGCTCTTGCTTCCCACCAGATTTCTTGTATCTTTAGCAGAGTCTCAGCCTATTTAGAAGGACTTGATGATCAGGCTCCCATTCTGGGGCTATGTACTAGCTTCCAGAGATGGAGCCAGTTCCCCATTTTTGTATGCCTTTGCGGGGAAAGGGCCTCCACCCAGCTCCCATCACTATGGCAACCTCCCTCCCCCTCAGTTTCGTTTCTCCAATCCAGAGCCCGGTCGCGTCTCCTTTGGCGGGTCCTACACTGAGAGGAGGCCGAGGACAGCTGCCAGGCGCATCCCGGCTGTTTACAACACCAGGTTACGAGAGCCTCGGGCAAGAGTCCTTTATTCAGAGGACCCAGGGAGAGAGGGCAAGCTGCTTCCCGTGCTGCCTCTGCCTCTTCCCCAGGCTCCTTCCTCACCATCCCCACCAGGGGAGACTGCTGTCCCCTTCCTCCCTGAATCAGACGGGCAGCCTCACCAGCTGTGTGGGGAAGAGGCTTTCTCACCTTCCCGGCTCAGTTCCCCTAAATGCACCCCTCGTACCTAAAGAAGTTGACCTCTTCCTCCGCAGGGGTCTTGTATAGATGCGGTGCCCAGCCTGGGATGGGAGAGACAGCATGGTAATGCCACTGAGACGGCTGGCCAACTTGCTTAGATTCTAAGGATTCCTTGTCGTTCAGTCGCCAACTCTCTGTGACCCCATGGACTGCAGCACTCCAGGCTCCTCTGTCCTCCACTATCTCCCAGAGTTGACTCAAATTCATGTCAACTGAGCCAGTGATGCCATTCAACCATCTCATCCTCTGTGGCCCCCTCCTCCTCCAATCTTTCCCAGCATCAGGGGCTTTTCTAATGAGTCAGCTCTTTGGACTGCAGTCAGATTTCCTCGTCATCCAAGGGACTCTCAAGAGTCTTCTCCAACACCACAATTTGAAAGCATCAGTTCTTCAGCACTTAGCCTTTATGGTCCAACTCTAATATCCATACATGACCGCTGGGAAACCCATAGCTTTGACTACCTGGACCTTTGTCGGCAAAGTGATGTTTCTGCTTTTTAATATGCGGTCTAGGTTTGTCATAGCTTTCCTTCAAAGGAGCAAGCATCTTTTAATTTTATGGCTGCAGTCACTGTCTGCAGTGATTTTGGAGCCCAAGAAAAAAAATCTGTCACTGCTTTCACCTTTTCTCCTTCTATTTGCCATGACGTGATGGGACTGGATGCCATGATCTTAGTTTTCTTTATGCTGAGTTTCAAGCCAGCATTCTCACCTTCCTCTTTCACCTGCATCAAAAGGCTCTTTAGTTCCTCTTCATTTTCTGCCATTAGAGTGGTGTCATCTGCGTATCTAAGGTTGTTAATATTTCTCCTGGCAATCTTGATTCCAGCCAGGCATTTCACATGATGTACTCTGCATATAAGTTAAATAAGCAGAGTGGCAATATACAGCCTTATCCTACTTCTTTCCCAATTTTGAACCAGTTGTTTCATGTCCAGTTCTAACTGTTGCTTCTTGACCCGAATACAGGTTTCTCAGGAGACAGATAAAATTCTTTAAGAATTTTCCACAGTTGGGGAATACATGTAAATCCATGGCTAATTCATTTCAATGTATGACAAAAACCACTGCAATGATGTAAAGTAATTAGCCTCCAACTAATAAAAATAAATGGAAAAATAAATAAGTAAATAAATAAATAGAAAGAAAAAAAATAAATAAAATGCTTGTAATCATAAAAAAAAAAAAAAAGAATTTTCCACAGTTTGTTGTGATCCACACAAAGGCTTTAGCAGTCAATGAAGCAGATGTTTTTCCAGAATTCCCTTGCTTTCTCCATGATCCAGTGAATGGTGCAATTTGATCTTTGGTTCTTCTGCTTCTCTGAAACCCAGCTTGTACATTTGAAAGTTTTCAGTTCACGTACTGCTGAAGCCTGGTTTGAAAGGTTTTGAGCATAACTTTGCTCCAATGCACTATGCACTATGTGAAATGAATGCAATTTGTATCATAGTTTAAACATTCTCTGGCGTTACCCTTCTTTGGGATTGGAATGAGAACTGACCTTTTCCAGTCTGTGGCCACAGTTGAATTTTCTGAATTTGCTGACATACTGAGTGCAGCACTTTTACCGCACAGTTAATAATACCTGCAGGGACCAGGGAGTGGGTCCTTACTTGCCCCAGGGGAGCCTCTTCTCAGTTAGAAAGGGCCTTGGCTGCCTGGAGTTTGCCCAGCTCCTTACCTATGTCATCCAGCTCAGGGCTGGGAGGAACAAGCTCCCTCGGAGTGAAGGTCAAGAAGAAAGGGGCTTCCGTGCCCGTTGCTAACTTCTGAGCCAGGTAGAGAAAAATGGTCCAATTGTGTGGGTTAAAAGCAAGACCAACACTTCCTCAGAACTCTTTGCAGGTGAAATGGAGCCAGTGTTGTGCTGTGCTGAGTCGCTCAGTCATGTCCGACTCTTTGAGATCCCATGAACTGTAGCCCACCAGGCTCCTCTGTCCATGGGGATTCTCCAGGCAAGAATACTGGAGTGGGTTGCCATGCCCTTCTCCATGGGATCTTCCCAACTCAGGGATCGAACCCAGGTCTCCTGCATTGCAGGCAGATACTTTACCGTCTGAGCCACCAGGAAAGCCTGAAATTGGAGCCTGACAGGTCCCAAAGCCTAAAAGTGAGACTGTCTTGACATGGCCTGGGGTGGGCAGCTAGAAGTTACGTGACTGGGGTTTGGCTTTGGAGATGGGAGAATATAGCCACCTCTGATCAAGTGAAGAAAGTTTGGGGGAAAATCTTAAGAGTTCTCCCCTCAGAGTTGTCTCCTCTAGGGATTCTCTGAGTTGGCCCATGATGTGAGAGAGGTTTGATTTCTTCTCTCATGATAACTGAGAAGCCCCACACAGGCTTCTGTGGCTTCAGGACTGGCCTGAGTCATCAGCAGGAATCTAATCCCTAGAAGTGGAACATTCCTGACAGCCAGGCAGGCAGCTGTCATCTGAGGCCAGCTGGCTGCATTTGGTCACCTTTTATAAACCCTCCCACTTTCTCACTGAGGAATGGAGAGGGGGATAATCATAGGAAAAGGTTCCTGGTGTCAAATGGGGGCTGGAGGGTTCAGGCTGCCTGATATGGTGGAAGAGCCAGCAAGGGACTGTAGTGAGCCCAGCTTGCAGGGGACAGGGGTTGGGACACAGAGCTAAAGAGAGAAAATTGAAAGTGTTTTGAAAGCATAATGGATCTCCCCCATGGCTTCCCACCTGCCCCATTCAGGAACAACCAGCCGCAGACTTGTTACTTGACGCTGGACTTTTGGGTGGGCAGTGTTTTCTCCTAGGGGGTGGCTTCAACTTTCCCTCCTAGGGCTCAGGGGTAGAAATGAACTCTGTGCACTGCTCCAAGCTGCTATATCAGCTTAGGGGTCTCTGGGAAGCTGTGAGATTCCAAGCTGTGGTTCAGTGTGGAGGAAATCTGGGGGTGAGTAAGAAGCGCTCATTGGTGCATCATCTTTGTTGATGTACAGATGTTAGAACCTTGTAAGGAAAAAAAAAAGTGCCCAAGCTGTTAACTTTGTTGTATGAGTACCTGACTGACTGTGAGTACCAGCTCCCTTTCTTCTGAACCTCGGGTGTCTGGTTCTTGCAACATCAGACCGGGCTGGTGCAGCCTGGAAAATCCAGTGGCTGGACGCCACAGTAGAGCACTGAGTCAGGCCTGTGGGCGGCTGCCTGCTGGGCACGTGTGCCGGGGCTCCCGGCTGGGCTCCACGCGCTCGCTGACCCATGTGCCCACTGCCTGTGTCACGCTGCCCTGGCGCTGGGAGGCGGTCTCAGAACCTCTGCCCCTGCCGCCCAAGCAGCACCGAGGGGGCACGGCTTAGCAGCCAGCTCTGGTGGCTGAGCCAGGCCGTCCCTGACTCAGCGGGGCCCTGCGATGTCCTGCAGTACCCCCTGGAAGCCTCAGCATCCCCGTCAGTGACTCCGGCCACCTCTGGGCATTAACTGGTCTCAATAAAAGTACTTTGAGTAAGCTCAGATGAAAGGGGCTCAGGATATTTCAAAGCCAGTCAGGGCTCCCGGGGTGAGGAAGGGTGGCGGGTGTTGAGGTGACAGTCGGGGGGAGACGCTGGAGCCTCAGACAAGAAGTCTGGGCGGAGAGTCCATGGAGCGCCTCACTGTTTTCTCACCCATCCGTCCCCACCGCTGCTCCCGGGGACCCAGGGGCCTGGGAGAGGACTGTGGGG